ATGATAACAGTGAAGCATTAGCTCTTGCCACTGATAGCAAAAAAAAATTGCCCACAGAAGTCTAGTGATTTCTGTGGACAAAAACAAAGTTGCTGGAAAAGCTCAGCAGGTCTGGCAGCATCCGTGAAGGAGAAAACAGAGTTAACGTTTCGGGTCCGGTGACCCTTCCTCAGAACGTCCTGAGGAACGTCTGTAACAAAACGTCTGCGGAACAACAAACCAGCTCGGCGAGCCAACCAACCTCAAGGTCATTGGAATGATCTTTGCCCAAAGAAGTTCCATTTTATTATAAGAAATGCTTGTATTTAACATAAATCTGGTTCTTTTAAAGTCAAGTTGAAAATCTATTGATTGGTTCACACATGCTTTCAGCTATTCAAAAAGTCAAAAGCAAAAAACTTGCATTAAATAGTGGCTTTCATTTTAAGAAATTTTCCAAATCACTTTACAGACAATAAAGTACTTTTGAGCTATTACCATAATGGTCCTATGGGAGCTTTTAAGTTTCCCTGATAAAGCAGACAGGTACTCAATTAATTGCCTCATCTGAAAGTTAGTATCTCTAAGTGTAGCAGTCTCATTTGGAAAGCATATACCTTGATTTTGAACTCAAGTTTCCACAGTTGATTTATGTTATTTATTTAGATTATCAAGCTGTCAAAATAAAACATTTTGGAGTTGAATTAGGATGTCAGAGGACAGAAAAGTGGAGTAGGTGTGCAAGGAATAGATAAGCAGTTTCAGTTTATTCTGGACACTTGCAAATTTGAATTTCACTCACTTTAGTCAAATTTGGTAACTGGATTTTTGCTTTGCCTATTGGTAAATTATTAATCCCAAATAATATGAAAGATACAGCCACAAATGGTTTGAGTGCTCAGTGAGTCAGTTTATTTGTATTTTTCTACTTTTCTGTAAAGATATCTGCATTAGGCTTCACCGGGCTCAGTGTGGCATACCCACACATACTGCAAGTGGTACACATTAATATATGAGGCATTGGTTTTTTGCAGCCTTTTTTTTCTCAAATTATCCCTTTTGCAACTGATCAAAATAGGCAACAGCCATTGTCTGGTTCATTCCTCAGGGCAAATCCTTGACCATGCAGATTCAACTTGCCTGGTTTAGATTTAAACAAAGCTTGATAGTTAACTGATAGTCATTATGTAACTGATGCATTCCTATCACAATGCCTCTGCCAGAGACCACTGCCAAGTATTCATTATGCTCTGCTCACAGAACATAAAAATGTTGTTCACTTTTACATTTGTAGTTTTGCAACTTTCCAGATGCATGCAAGATGAAAAACTCCAACAGAACATGTTTTTCTTCACCAATAATTTTGTAGATTTGCTCTGCTGATGGTGGCAAATACCTGAATAAAATTTTTTTTTCATGGCTAGTGTATGGAGTTCATATGATAACAAGGTGTAGAGCTGGATGAACACAGCAGGCCAAGCAGCATCAGAGGAGCAGGAAAGCTGACGTTTCGGGCCTAGACCCTTCTTCAGAAATGGAGTTCATGTCCACACTAGCTCTATAGGCATAGAAACTGTACAGTGGGCACACTCAGTCTGCAAGCAGATACAATCTTAGTATTCCCTGAGCAATATCTTCCCCATGACACTAAAGGGTGGGTTGTCCCTGTTTGTACTGCAATCTCCAGTCACCTTCGTTTTTATATAGTGTGATAATCTCACGTAGAATGGAGCCTACTTTCCAGCAGAGAAAGTCATAATATGTCACTCGAGATGAGAAATTTCATATTTGAGCAATTCAGCTGGGATTCCATGCTTTACACATGCCTTGCTATTTGCAAAGCAGTACAGACCTTCCTGAATTCAAGCAAAGAGATTTCTCATCTAATTTATCCATGACAGGAAACTGTAGGAGAATGTCAAGCATGGACTGGGCAATGATTGCTTCACAGTCATTACCAGCTCATCTGGACATCTTCACTTGTGTCAGTGAGTATTTCACCTTGCGCCGATTTCGGGGAATTCCTTCATACCTAGCTTATTAATTTCCATTGTCACATACAACTGACTGAGGTTTATTGGAACAGAATCTCTCTCTTTTGCATGATTGTCTTGGATACTTTCAGTGTCAAGTATTGTTTAACTGTTGCATTTATATTGTAGATCACGTAGGCTTTCCATAGAATTTCCACAGAATCCCTACAGTGTGGAAACAGGCCCTTCGGCCCAACAAGTCCACACCGACCCTTGGGCCCATCCCCCTGTAACCCACCTAATCTACACATCCCTGAACACTATGGGCAATTTAGCATGGCCAATCCACTTAGCTTGCACATCTTTGGACTGTGAGAGGAAACCAGGGCACCCGGAGGAAACCCACACAGACACGGGAGAATGTGCAAACTCCACACAGTCGCCTGAGGGTGGAATCAAACCTAGGTCCCTGGCACTGTGAGGCAGCAGTGCTAACCACTCAGCCACCGTGCCACCCATAAAGACTATGTTTCACTGTGTTAACCAGGCTGCACTGCAACATCCACTCGTAGGCGCAATCCGACTACTGATGGGCATCGGGCTTTGACATGCTCCGTTTCTGACCTTGAACAATTCACTCCTCTTTACCCGATCTGGTGATCCTAGATTCCTCCGGGGACACCGTATCGATGCCCAACTTAGAGAGGTCACCTGATCGGTATAGTCCACAGCAGTCCAGAACTCCTGGTCTCAAGCAATTTACATCAATAGTAGATGTCATCTCCACTATGTAGATCTCAAACCATTCTTTCTTGTGGTTCTATATTTACTAAATTCTAGACAGTTCCCTGAGAGAGCGGATGACTTTCTTTCATTCCAGACATGTCAGTCCTGAGGTGACTAAACAATTCTGAAATGCACACCCTGTCACAAAGTGGGCGGGTGGTATTTAAAGAGGTGGGTAGATGGGACGCTCAGGCTTTTGCATGCTCCTTCCACAGTTTGCACTTGACCCACACCAAAACCTAAAATGCTTTTTTGATTGGCATCTTTACAGATGTTTCTTCTTCAGTGTGGGCAGTCTTGGTCAAGAGATTCCCAGGTTCTGTAGGGCATTGCACTTTTTTTCAACGAGTTTTTAAGGACATGCTTGGAGTGTTTATCTCTGTCCCCCTTGTAATTGCTTTCCTTGACTGAGCTCGGAGTGGGAGGATTGGTTTAATAGCCTTATATCAGGCATGAGGACAACGTGGCACACCCAATGCAGCTGACTAACAGTAAGCAGTGCTTCTACAGTGGGGAGTTGGCCTGAGAGAGGAAAACCTATTGTGTCAATAGATTTGCAGAATCTTGCAGGGGGCATCACTGGTGATAATTCTCTGGGATTCTACTCAAAGATATATGTATGTTTATATGCCTCCAACACATACAGAAGGGCATGCAAGATCAACACCCTGCACAGCAAGAGTCTGGTGCCAGGCTATGCTGGCACATTACATACATGTTGAATTTCATTATGATAGCCCTTTTGAACAGAAGCTCCTAAGAGGGTTGATGTGTGTTGTGCAGTCGCTCACTATGGATCTTGATAGACAGGGAACGGAGATGCATAGCAGCAGCAGGCTAATAGAGGATCAATGTCCTCTGATTGGTCAGCACAAAGCTCATGCTCTCATACACCTCATGCATCAATAATGGTCTGAAGGTCAGCCTCAGAGTATGTGCACAGAAAAGCAGCGTCTGCGTACTGCAGCTTAATGACAGAGGCTGCTGTGTTCTAGGTTCTGAACCGGAGGTCCCATCCTATCGAAAAGCTTCTCTCCAGTGGGGATGTTCGTGGATATGAGCTGGAGTATTGCGAAAGGTAGACAAGAGTGTTGTGCGATTGCACTGTCTTGTTTAAAATAAGCTTGCACACACACCATCTTAACTTATTCCAGTTTTTCCCTATTTTCTGATATTATTACATTCTGAGATGATCACCTGCAAAATTCTCATACCCCCAAGATACATCTGGAACATTACTATTTTTACAAAAGCCTAAACATCCAAAATATTTTTTATCAAGTTCCATGGCACAACTTTAATTCTACCAAATCTAAAAGTTCTTGGTCACTGCAGTATTCGCCAACCCAAAGATCAAATGATGCTGCCATGTTCTACAACAGCTGTACGTACTCTCGATCTCGTTATATCCTCCGGAACCAAATACATCTTGTTTACCACCTTCTGTATTCTCAGCTTCTTAACTGAATCCACGGTTGACCAAATGCAGTTATTTACAATGCGCACATAAATATGCATTGGGATATGAGGGAAGGAGATTGGGGAGAAATTCTGGAGAAGACTGAAACCCAGCTGGTCCCGGGATCCGGGTGGTAGGGGAAGGTCATTCCCAGCGGGTCCCAGGACCAGTGCCAACGACCGGGCTTTTCGCCCTTGCTCAGTCGGTTACCTGTGAGTCTATTGAATTCACGCGGCCGTATGGCTTCGATCGCTCCCCCGCACCCCTGCTGCTCGAAAGCTGCTGCAAACAGCTCCAGGCTGTTGCGCTCCGGCCGTGTCGCCTTCCCCTCCATTTAGTGTCAGCTGAGAGTCGGCTTCTCGCCACAGATCAGTCCCAGGATCGGGGGCCGAGCCGCGACTCCTCCCTCTCCTCGGCCTGGACCCGCCTGCGTGTGGGGAAAGAGATAAACTCGGAGTCCTTGAACCGGGCGAGGTAAAGGGAACTGTACAATCATTGACAGACACCCAGGCCGAAGAACAAAACAATTATAACCGTTAAAAAATGATAATTTCAGGATCGGTAGCCAAAGTCTCGCTGGGGTCATGAGGCTCCAGGGACAAATCAGGTTATGGATTCACAGCGTTATTAAGACATAGATCGGAAAGTTAAGGATTATCAGATCAGTCATGATATCGTTGAATTGTTTCAGAGATAGTAGGAACTGCAGATGCTGCAAAATCTGAGACAACAAGGTGTAGAGCTGGATGAACACAGCAGGCCAAGCAGCATCAGAGGAGCAAGAAAGCTAACATTTCACACCTAGACCCTTCATCAGAAATGGGGGAGGGGAAGGGGGTTCTGAAATAAATAGGGAGAGATGGGGAGGCGGAGAGAAGATGGATAGAGGAGAAGATAGGTGGAGAGGAGACAGACAGGTCAAAGAGGTGGGGATGCAGCCAGTAAAGGTGAGTGTAGGTGAGGGGTTAGGGAGGAGATAGGTCAGTCCAGGGAGGATGGACAGGTCAAGGGGGCGGGATGAGGCTGGTAGTTGGGGGTGGGGCTGGAGATGGGAGGAGGGGATAGGCGGGAGGAAGGACAGGTTAGGGAGGCGGGGACAAGCTGGGCTGGTTTTGGGACGTGGTAGGGGGAGGGGAGATTTTGAAGCTTGTGAAGTCCACATTGATACCATTGGGCTGCAGGGTTCCCAAGCGGAATATGAGTTGCTGTTCCTGCAACCTTCGGGTAGCATCGTTGTGGCACTGCAGGAGGCCCAGGATGGACATGTCATCTGAGGAATAGGAGGGGGAGCTGAAATGGTTCGCGACTGGGAGGTGCAGTTGTTTAGTGCGAACCGAGCGTAGGTGTTCTGCAAAGCGGTCCCCAAGCCTCCGCTTGGTTTCCCCGATGTAGAGGAGGCCACAACGGGAACAGCGGATGCAGTACACCACATTGGCAGATGTGCAGGTGAACATGTGCTTGATGTGGAAAGTCTTCTTGGGGCCTGGGATGGGGGTGAGGGGGGTGGTGTAGGGGCAGGTGTAGCACTTCCTGTGGTTGCAGGAAAAAGTGCCGGGTGTGTTGGGGCTGGAGGGGAGTGTGGAGTGGACAAGGGAGTCACGGAGAGAGTGGTCCTTCCGGAAAGCAGATAAGGGTGGGGAGGGAAAAATGTCTTTGGTGGTGGGGTCGGATTGCAGATGGCGGAAGTGTCGGAGGATGATGCGTTGGATCCGGAGGTTGGTGGGGTGGTGCGTGAGGACGAGGGGGATTCTGTTTTGGTTGTTATTGCGGGGAGGGGGTGTGAGGGATGAGTTGCGGGAAATGCGGGAGACATGGTCGAGGGCGTTCTCAACCACTGAGGGGGGGAAGTTGCGGTCCTTGAAAAACAAGGCCAAAAAGGAGAGAGAGGTATTAGAGATGGTCCAGGTGAACTTAAGGTTGGGGTAGAAGATGTTGGTGGAGTGGATGAACTGTTCAAGCTCCTTGTGGGAGCACGAGGCAGTGCCGATACAGTCATCAATGTAACAGAGGAAGAGGTAGGGTTTAGGGCCAGTGTAGGTACGGAAGTGGGATTGTTCCACGTAACCTACAAAGAGGCACGCGTAGCTTGGGCTCATGTGGGTACCCATGGCCACCCCCTTTGTCTGTAGGAAGTGGGAGGAGTTGAAGGAGAAGTTGTTGAGGGTGAGGACGAGTTCAGCTAAGCGGATGAGGGTGTCAGTGGAGGGGGACTGGTCGGGCCTGCGGGACAGGAAGAAGCGGAGGGCCTTTAGGCCATCTGTATGGGGAATGCAGGTGTATAGGGACTGGACGTCCATGGTAAAGATGAGGTGTTGGGGACCGGGGAATTGGAAGTTCTGGAGGAGGTGGAGGGCATGGGTGGTGTCACGGATGTAGGTAGGGAGTTCCTGGACTAAGGGAGAGAAAATGGAGTCGAGATAGGTGGAGATAAGTTCAGTGGGGCAGGAGCAGGCGGAGAGCAGGACTTCACAAGCTTCAAAATCTCCCCTCCCCCTACCGCATCCCAAAACCAGCCCAGCTCGTCCCCCCCTCCCCAACCTGTCCTTCCTCCCACCTATCCCCTCCTCCGACCTCAAGCCCCACCCCCATCTCCGACCTACTAACCTCATCCCGCCCCCTTGACCTGTCCGTCCTCCCTGGACTGACCTATCTCCTCCCTACCTCCCCACCGACACTCACCTTTACTGGCTCCATCCCCACCTCTTTGACCTGTCTGTCTCCTCTCCACCTATCTTCTCCTCTATCCATCTTCTATCCACCTCCCCCTCTCTCCCTATTTATTTCAGAACCCCCTTCCCCTCCCCCATTTCTGAAGAAGGGTCTAGGCCCGAAACGTCAGCCTTCCTGCTCCTCTGATGCTGCTTGGCCTGCTGTGTTCATCCAGCTCTACACCTTGTTATCTCCCTCTCATCCCAGCCTCCTTGACCTGACACAATCTGTCCATCTTCTCTCCCACCTATCCACCCCTCTGACCTCACTGACCAAGCCCCACCACTGCCTCCCTGCACTCACCTATCACCATCCCACCTACCCTCCCCAGCCCCATCCCTCCTCTATTTATTTCCCAGCTCCCTCTACCCCCTCCCCATTTCTGAAGAAGGGTCCTTGAGTTGAAACGTTAACTTTTCTACTGCTTTGATGGGCCTGGCCTGCTGTGTTCCTCCAGCTCCACACTGTGTTATCCCTGACTCCAGCATCTGCAGTTCTTACTGTCACTCGTTGAAACATTAACTCTGCTTTCTGTCCATAGATGATGACAAACTTGCTGTGTTTTGCCACCAATTTCTGTTTTTGTTTGTGCCTACTTTAGCTCCTGCATCTTATGGTTTTATGGTCTTAGGAACCTTATAAGGCACAATTAGGCATCAGACTACCCACCTCTGAGGATACCTTGCATTGTGTTGTGCCGCACCACAACCATGCTAAATAAGACAGGTTTTGAAAAGATCCAGCAGTTCAAAACTTGGCATCCAGGTAGTGCCATGGCTCAGGTGGAGCAGCAGAATTGTATACAGTCACAATCTGTAACCTCATGGACCAACATATCCCCGGTTCCACCAGTACCGTCAAGCTTGGTCAGTGAACATATAAGGGGACATGGCAGGGGCAGCACCAGAAAAACCTAAAAATGCCAACCTGGAGAAGTTACAGCATAGGACTATTTGCCCGCCGAACTGCAAAATCAGCATACAGTTCAGAGTTCGGCAACCATAACCAACAAATCACATCTAAACTCTGCAGTTGTGATACTAGTTATTCATTCATGCTTTCAACTTGTCAGCCCAAGTCTGGATATTGTCCAGGTATTGCTGTGTTTTGACATAGACTGCTTCATTGTCTGAACAGTTGCAAATAGTGCTGAGCATTGTGCATCATCAGTAAACAGCCACACTTCTGACCTTGCAGTGGAAGGAATGTAATTGATGATGCAGGTTAAAATGAATGAGCCTAGAACACTACTCTGAGAGTAGAGCTATTGTCGTGCAGTGATAGTGGCCCTACCTCTGGACCAGAAGGCCTAGGTTCAAATCCCACTTGCTTCAGAGGTGTGATATAACATCTCTGAATAGGTTGATTAGAAAATATCTACCCTGAGGAGCTAAGGGCTCTTGTGATGCAGTGCCCATATCTCAGAACCAAGAGTTCTAATCCCACCTACTCCAGACATGTGTCATAACATCTCTGAACAGTTTGGTCAGAAAAATATCTACCGTGAGGAACTCACACAAAGATGTTCTGGAGTGAAGATGACTGACAACCACACATCTTGCTTTGTGCTAGGCATTGACTCCAACCAGTGGAGAGGTTTCCTCTGATTCCCATTGATACTAGTTTTGCTAAAGCCTCCTTGATGCCATACTCCGTCAAATAGGGTCCGGGGATGAAGAAATCCCAAGCTGAAAGGCAATCCATTTCTTAGTCCCACTTTCAAATGAATTACAGCAGGGGTCAGCTTGCTGTGTGTGCCAGTCCTCTTTCTTTCCCTTATGATCAATTTTTGAGGCCTAGTCTGTCTCTTTAGTTCTGCTTGTTAAGCGAAATACATAAAATTCACATTTGATAACTCTATTGCTTGCCACTTTTTAAAGGTTACTTTATTAAGTACTCATTTTGTTAAATCATCAGTTCATCATGTTGAGATTTTTTTTGACAACTTATTTACTTTCCTTCATACCTTAATTTTTTTTTAAGTTCAAGTTTAATATTGTATCCCCCGTGATCTGCATATGTAGCATCAAATCATCTCTGATTTGTAAGAAGTCTAACAAGGTCTCATCTAAGTGCATATGTGAATTACTTGTCTTTAGCTCTTCAAATGTGCAGTTCTCTGCTAGCCAGTAAAGGTCATTTATGAACAAATCCATGCTTTCTGCAAGCCGCCACATTCTTGTATTAATTATTTCTCTATATTTGTTTGTTGAGAAAATGAAATGCCATGATAAAAAAAACTGAGTCAGGCTGGCTGTGTGTCCACTCGCAAGGGAGAAAGCATGAGCAGAGTGCCACTCACTAGAATGCAAAGCATATCAATCACCGTTGTGAAATATCTGAGATGTGGAAAGAGCAAGTCACACAAATTGGAAGATTACCTAGCAGGGGAAGCACAGTGCCACAACTGTAGAAACATTGGTTATTTTAGAAAAGTTTGCAAGTTTCAAAATGCAGACAGTAGTAAAGCAGAATAATCAAAGCAGAACAAGAGGTAGAAATGTCACAATACTAGGAAAAGCTTTTTTCGAAGAAGTCAACAACTCCTAAATATGGGAGTATCAAAGTAGAAGCAAATGTGTACACCACAGATCATAAACTAGGGTAAGACTCAGTACTATCAAA